GTTCGACTTAGCTTTGAAATTCGCTTTGAATTTTTACTTTAGTAAGTAGCTGTGTGGGTGTGCAAAGTGTCGATCCTGTCCGTTGCACAATCACATCTCATTTATACCCTCACTTCATGTTCATTACACCTTGTCCTTCACTCCTTCATTTATATGTCCCATTCCTTAATCTCATACTCTCTGCTTCTTGTGGCTTTATATATTCTCTCACTCATTTCCATCCCGTCCATCACTTCCCAGTCTAGATTGAATTCCGTTCTCCCCGTTTTTATCCCGCTGTCGCTATTTTCTATATAAATCCCATCCATCACTTTCTTTGTCACGCTCTGTAGATCCCCTTTCTTTCTCTCTGCATCTAATCCCATCCTTTTTACACAGTCCTCACCCTTATGGTTACATATCCCTTCCCTTTCCACTTTCCGTATTTTACCAATACGCTTTCCCCCCCAATATTACGTAGTGCTTTCCCTGGATCACAAACATTCTATGGATTTTGCACCCCATCCCAGGTCCTCAATCTCTCTGTACCCCATGCCTACTCTCTGCATCCAATCTCTGCTCCTCGATCATGACATTTCTATCCTTTAGTACATTATTTCCCACAAAAAAAATAAAAAATTTTTACCTTAATTTGTCGATTATAAAATGTCATATATCCTAGAAACCTTACTAAAGGGATATACATACTTTCGGTTAAATTTGCTTATAAGTTTTTAATTGTCAGCTAACAATCCCTATGTTATCGTAGACGCCTAGGGGTTAAAAAAAAAAAAATAATACATTAATACTTCAATTTACTTTTTTTTTTTTTTTTTAAATTAAAAATAAATCGCATTTTAATTCCACCTAGAGCCTTGAAGTTAGTGCATTTGTGGCATACGTTAAGGAGGTTTGATGTCACAAAACAATAATTACAACCCCTGCCTTGTCCCTCACTCACTGCTGTTCCCCAATTATTCTGTCCTTGAATTTTATATTCCATTCTTAGCACTCTGACTATATCTTATGGTCTTGTACATTGCTTCTCTTCCCCTTTCTCTTTATTCCCCACCTCTCAGTAATGCGATTCAAAGCACCATTCATTTCCACCTCATTAAATCTCTTCTGAAACTTTCTCTCTTCCCCACCTCCCTCCTCACATCCCACTGTATTTCATCTTCACCGACTGCCCTCCAATCACCGCAGCTCAATCCACTCTTCTCTCTTCGGGCTGCAAAATAAAAAAAACAAAACACAAAACATATTCTTTTCATTCATTTGAAGCTAAAGAGATTGTTTTGTTTAGCGATCGGAAGTGAGAAATTATCTGTTTTAGCAGAGGGTCACTGCTCTCCTAATGCCGGGAGGTCTTAATCTGATCAAGAAAAAGCTCTTAAAAGTGAGAACCACATTGCCATATTCTGTCACTCGCTGCCGAGGACACAAACGTTTGCTCATTGCTTCATACTTAAGGCAACAAGCGAAGTCAGCAATTTCCATCCTGTCATTTTATGGTGACATCCTTTGAGGGTCTACCACCTGTAACGGTAAGAAAAAAAAAAAAAACAACATTCAGGACACTTTGTAAAAAAAACTTTTTTGAACTTTTTTTATTGCATTGATACAGTGATTTGAGACTGGATATCGTTTTCACTTTGTGATGGCAAATCTTTATATTTTCCTAAAGGTTGGAAATGTTATCCAGAGCATGGACGTTGACAGTTTATAAAGAATCAATATTAATCAATATAAATAAGCACTAGCATACTTGAGACGGTACAATGAG